TGAAATTAAACATATTAGACACTTGCGCTTTCTCTTTTCTTTCTTTTCCATTTAACCAGGCTGGGCCACAGTAACGCGTGGCCGGGTACAGCTAGTATATATACATATATATTTTCTTCAAATGCCAACCATTGACTCTTTTTAATTATTTTTAATATAAACAAATGAAATGGGAAGTTGGCAAAATGAAAGCAAAGCATCAATTTCAAGCACCATATGCAACAAATAATAGCCCCCATTGGGCTGATTTGCACCTTTTGATAAATTGTATTTTGTGAATTGCTATATCAGTCATTTTGTGTGTGTACCTGATACATGGATTCAAAATTCTATGTATACTCCCACTATAAAAAGATTTACTGTGTCACTTTTCCACAAATAGATTGTAACAGCAAAATGAATTAAGCTCTTTTACCTTAAAAGGGGATTTGTTGGCATTTATTGTTGAATATAAATTTGGAGCTCCAGACTGAGAAAGAATATCCAGGTAGGAAAGGTATTGTTGAGGGGACACATCTTTTTCCAAATTCCCGTCAGGTTCCTGTTTTGAAATCCTATGCAATACAATCAAGGTTAATAATTTTATCTGCATTTTAAAAAATATGCAATCGATTAAAAAAAACTGAAATATTTGAAATATATAACCTGTGCTATATGTGATTTATATTTCTTATGGAAGGGAAGATAACAGTGACAGCATTAAAAAGCAGAACTATGCCATAGCAAAAAAAATCATATTAATAAAAGCATTTAAAAAAAATAGAATAGGACATTAGTCTAAAAGGAAGAAACAGAATTTATGAAATAAAAAACAGTTTGAGAAAATAACTTGAAGGAACACGCCCCAACTGTAAAAACATTTCAGCAAAGTCTTAATCCTTGTTGTGAATAAGGGTTTTTAAACTTTGGTTTTAGGGCTGTTATCACATTGAGCTAAGTTGTTGCTGTTTAAAAAGTTGTTGTGTTTAAAAAGTTAAACATTATTCTCTTGTTAGGAAGTTCTTAAAGGTAGCACTCTACTCTTTATGATGTGTGTGTGTTTGTATGTATGTGTGTACTTCCTAGAAAGTATCATCACAAAGAGTAGAGTGTTACTCTTAATGTTATGTATGTATGTATGTATGTATGTATGTATGTATGTATGTATGTATGTATGTATGTATGTATGTATCAGAGGTGGGTTCCTACCAGTTTGGACAGGTTTGGCCAAGTAGGTAGTAACTCGGCCTGCCACACCCCCGAACTGGTTCTATCGGTGGCGCCATAGGCACCACCATCTTGTTTTTTGCTTCTGCACAAGCATTTTTTTTACTACTGAACATGCATGCATAGCATGCATCAAGTGTGCACGCACCCAAAGCACATCCCTGAGAGAACCAGCAGTAGCAGAAGATGGAACCCATCCCTGGTTTGTATGTACGTATGACATTCCTAGAAAGTATCATCACAAAGAGTAGAGTGCTACCCTTAATGTTTTATATGTACGTATGTATGTGTGACATTGTGATCATAAATCGAAGATTACCTATATTTTCCCTTTGTAGTCTTATTCTTATCATGTTTTCCATTTTAATTGATTTAGTACTATATTTTAAGTTTAATTCATATTTTATATTTTAATTGTAGATCTTATTGGGCACCACCCAAAATCAATCCAGAATTTGTGTGAGACAGACAACCATGTAAATTTGACAAGTAAATAAAATGCATGAAGATATACCCAGTTGAGTCTTCAGGGTCTTCAGATGAGGATGTTTCCAGATGCCAGTCATGGGTCTTAGGGAGACCAGAAAGCTCACGGGCTATAATATGCTGTGTATAATCATCATGCCATGTAAACCCTGAAAAATAGTTGCAAAAATACTGATCCAGAAAATTGAGATTTTGGCAAACAAAACAAAGCAGAAGAAAAGACATACTAATCTTGCACTACATAAGCAATTATCACAATGCATTCAATGTTGATAAGCTTTTTTTTTTATAAACCAATTTCCTACTTGTTTTAGAAGAATAGCGACAGGATTCCTTGAGCCTGCAAATTATTGGGCTAACTGTACTGAAATACTGATGTTTTTAAAATGTTCCTTTCTAAAAAAGACAGTGGGTGTTATGATGAGATTTAAAAAGATTATATTTAATGGAATTTTAGTGTTTCTTAGTCACAGAGGAACTATAAAGCAAGCAGCTTTATTGTCTAATGTGGTTGCTTTTCTTTAGTTACAGAAAAGAACTGAATAACTGAGCTGGAATGATTTTCAAAGCTGAATAGTGAGATATAATGAAAAGTTATTTCACAGAACTGTATCTCATTAGTTTCAAAATATATTCCAAAATACATCACCATTTTATATAATGTTGTTGGAATAAGCTAATAATATCAGGGCATCTGGGGTGAGTTCCTACTGGTGTTGGTAGCGGTTAGCTGCACGCACGTTTTCAGTTCACTGTAAATTGTTCTGCGCATGCGCAAAGACCATAAAAAACTAATAAAAAACATGCCAGCAATGGCAGTGGAGACCAGTGAACTGGTGGGTGGGCGTGGCCAGCCTGGGTCCTGCTGGTTCTGCGATCCAGGCCAAATACCCCTACTGATTCACCTGAACCAGTGCGAACCGGTAGAATCCCACCTCTGCAGGGCATGAATTAACTCTGATCCACTGAAAACTATAACCATAAGCAGCAGAGTAATCTATCTAGGGATCAATGTGTGTTTATTTTACCTCAACTAACAGTTTTAAACAAGGGCAAAGTGTCATTGTGAAAGTAAATTCAATGCAATTATATATTAATTACATCTCTTATTAATCTCATGGTAATTATACTTAGAATAATGATGTGATCCCAAGAATAATTACTAGTTTGTAAATGTTATGATTAACATTTTTAGTTAATATAGGATTACCACCTGGAATTATCCATAATGATTTAGTATGTCTATATCATATCATTACCAATATTGAAATTCTACTTTCTGATACCTTTTTGTACATGAAATATTAATCACTGATATTGTAACAGCAGTGTTAATACTTTTTGGTCCATTAACCTGAAAAGTAATTCTATATTTTATTTTAAAAAAAATGCTCATGTATTGGCGCTAATCAGTTTTAACGAGTACCTGAAAAAGAATGTTCGGTTCCACAGGATTTATTTCCATTTGATACTATAATCTATATAATACACAGTAATATGACAACACTGTGGTGAACTTTGACAATTTTATATATGCTTATTTACTGTAAATCGAAATAGTATTATAACAACTAGTGTTCAATTTTAGAATTTCAGTAGAAAACATATACCTCAAAAAAGTATATGCCATTTTCACTTTTATTTTACCCTGCAGGCATGGATTTATATTAAATATTTAGCCTAAGCTGAAACAATGGAACAAAAACAAAAGGACAATGAGTGTGAAACAATCTATTTAGGTAGAAAACTCTATTTTAGAGATTTCTAAATTAGTATCCAAAGAAAACAATATGCCTTGTACACTTTTCTTTCTCACTGATATTATTTTAACACCTGAGCTTTAATTTGCCAACAATAACATCATTCTCATTTCTAATAGCTCCTTGTCTTTATTGGTAACTAGCTAATAACCTGGCATTTCCCAGGTATTTATTTATAGAAGGAAAATATCTGGACCAAATGTAATTTCTAATTTTGGATTTTCCCCCTTACCAGAGGGAGCCCCCTTGTGGAGTACTGTGAAACCTTTACCATGGCAACTCCACTGTGCTGTACAGTAAAAGCCATTTTATGCCAGTACAGTAGAAGCCATTTAAAGGTACAACATGCTGCATCTTAACAGAACACACACCTCGGGCTGCGGGATGTTAGGAGTGTCTTACTCCCACAGTATTTGTCTCCAGAGAATAAGTCATCTGTGTACCAAGTTTAGTTAAAATTGCTCGAGGCGTTCCAGAGTTATAATGGTTGTAAATTACTAGAGATTGGAAGTCAAGAACTATAGGTCAAAAACCTGTAGTTTTTTCTTTGATTTCAAGTTTGATTTTTATCTTCTGTTCCATCCCAGCATAGTTAGTATTACCCCTTGCACCATAAGAAGAATCTCTGAAGATTGGTCTTAATGGCTACATTGTAATTTTAATTCCAGCTATTTTAACCATCCATTTTACTAACATTTTAAACAGAGTTTAAAAATCAATGAAAACCAAAGATAAAATATTTAAAAAACTATCCCTCTTTTATAGCTCCACTCTTCGTGAAGTGCGGTTAGGATTAGGGCTAAGCAGATCTTTGAGGGGGGTGCTCCATTTTGACAAAGAAATCCTTCAAAACTACTTCACAGAGAAGGACAAACACAGACATGCATAGTTTTAATAGCAAAGAATCCATGTTACTTCACTTCACTCTCTTCTGACATTTACAAAATTTAGACATTTAGATGTTGCTTCTGCAACATCTCTCTTCTCCTGGAGCTGATAAATATCTACAAGGTACAAAACATCCTTCACAAAGATCTATGAGCAGCATTGAAAAACAATCAACTAGGTTCTTTAATTTGTTTGTTTTGAGGAGAAAATCTCAACCCAGGATGCTCAATAAAATAGCTTCCACAGGAACATTAACATCAAGTAAACACCCAGAATCAAAATTAAGTCTGATAAACAAGGGCAATTTTACTTGGCAATTTCCCGATCCGTTGTCTCTACAATCATAGCTACTGCTTTGCTACAACTCAATTACATCAATTTAACACATAAGGTTATACAGGGCTGCAGTTTTTTTTCCATGTCACTAATGTAGAACTGTTCTGTAAGACACACTACTACTAATTATGAATCCCTGCTGGAGCTCTGCCGACAGTGTACCTCTTCCAACTGAAAATTCCCAGCAACGAGCAATGAAAAAACAAGCAACCACATACTTAGCTAAGACACCGCTTCTGAAAAGTTATTAATTAAAACAGAGAAATACAAACTGAAATATTATATGATTAAATAGAAATTATTGAAGAAATAACCAAGATATCTCTGTCACGTGGAACAACTAAAGAGTTTTATGGAAAGTTAGAAACTAAAATTTTGATTACAACAAGCTTCACGAGAAATGCCAAACATCCTCTAAAAGAGTCTCAACATTTTTTTCATGCTATTTAGAGTACACAGCAGATACTGATAATAGCTGCTTCCGTTTCTTCTTCAATAGAAGGTACAATGACATCATCATGCTCTTTTTAACGTCATAGTTTCTCTCCTTCTGTTGAAGAAAAAACTTCACTCCTTTTTTTTTAATAGACAGGAGATAGTGAAAGAAAGAAATCATTGGAGGATGCAGGTTTTAAATCTTTGAGGTGGGCTGGAGAAAGAAGACATGTCATATCCATTTTAGCTATTAAGATATGCCGGGTTCGAAAAACAAAAACCTCATAAGAAAAAACTAGATGGATTCTTGGTAGTTTGATAATGCAACCAACCAGAGGTGGGTTCCTACCAGTTTGCACCTATTCAGTAGAACCGGTTCGTCAAATCTACCGAACCGGTTAGAAGAGGTTCCACCAGTGGATCCAGAAAGCAGGCCACACCTACAGAGGAGGTTCCAAACATTTTTGAAACCCACCACTGGTCCTTGCATATGATTACTCTACACTATCATGCTCATATTTATAAAACTCAGTGCCTCTGTGAAAGGTAAGGATGACTACTGCGTTTGTGATGCAATCAGAACATTGCGTGTGTTGAAGTTGTTTTAACGCAAACCAAAGATGCCTTTTAAAAAACAAGTTGACATCATATTCTTATGCATACCAGTGCTGTGTGTGAGGTAATTTAAGGTGGTTCTGACAAGTGTCATCGGCATTTTCATATCCGGTCACATGGGCGGCAAGCCACTCCCATCCGGTCACCTGGGTGGCAAGCCACTCCCACAAAAGAGGCCACACCCACAGAGTAGGTTCGAACAATTTTTGAAACCTACCACTGCAACCAACCCTTTGGTTTCCTGAAATCATCAAAATGAAAATGCTGGCATAGGGTAAGGAAACAGGTTGTCAGCAGAGCTAGTTGCTGTGCCGTGCCGGCTGCCAGCAGAACTTGGATGAGGAGAAGGTTGGGGAGGAACTTGGGCCAGTCCTGGAGTCTGTGGAAGACTGATGGATGCTCTGCATGGAAAGCAGAGATAGAGTCAGGGCTGTCCAACATTTCTCAACTGCCTTTAGAGCTGGAGATAAGTGCGGAAGAAGAACAGCTGGGGCCTGTTCCAGATGTGCATATGTGCAGAACTGTCAAGAGAGGAGAACAACTGAGGAACAGGAACCAACATGGGAAGAAAGGCACATGTGGATGCTGAATGGCCCCTCCCTGGCTAGGGAATAAATGGAAGCAAAAGGGGAGTGGTGGTTGCAGGAGACAACAGTTCGCATTTCTTTCAGAAGATTTGCTTCTTATGATTCCTGCCTTAGAGACTGCTAGCCAGAAATTAATTTACAGCTTTGTCTGATGTGGTCTGTTACTGCAATTAACCCTTGGAAGAATTATTTGCCTGGACTTTTCTGTGAACGAATGCCATGAATTCACAGTAGCTAGACAAAGAGGGGTTTTTCAAGACAAGGAATCTGTTTCTTGGTTCTGCTAAGGCTGGGACAGAACAATAGTTCAGATTTCAAAATGCAGAGGTATGTCTGCAGGGAGGGAGAAAGGCTCCTTTGCCCAGACCTGAATAGCGTCCACCTATTCTTCCAACCACCAGAAAACAGGACAAGAAGCAACAGATGGAAACTAATCAAGGAATCAGTGGAATGATTTGCCTCCAGAGGTTGTGCTCCAACACTGGAGACTTTTAAGAAGAGATATTAGAATAACAGAGTTGGAAGGGA